TAATTTTAAAAGTACATTACATATGTAGCCTACATTTTGAAAATAATAATAATAATAATAATAATAATAATAATAATAATAGAATAAATCCATTATATTGATAAAGACAACAGTTTGCAACAGATTAAAAAATACTTCAAACCATAAAATTTGCTTACCATTCCATTTTTCCTATTTTCTCCTGCAGTGATTCTTTCTGTGCTGGGATGGCAAAATCACTTTCAATTAATTTTCTGTAGTGAAGAAAAACAGCTAAATACTTTACATGTGAGAACTTGTGCCTAGTTACAATTGTATGATTATTTTGCTCTTAATAGATAGGGTAAGGATGCTAACACAGAAACCCTAAAAACCCTGGTGTTATTTACTGCTGCTAGCATTTTCAGAAGCATTGCTGGTTCTCACCATGGGATGCTTATTGAGTGAACTTGAACTTATCTTTTTGAGACAGAACTGGGACAACATTTGAATTTTTTTTAGAATGCAATATTTTCTGGGAACTAGTAATCTGATTGGAAAAATATCCTCCTTGTCTTTTTTTCCTAATTGATGTTTTATAGATATTGACATGTGTTATATCTCATTAATATATACCAAGAGGAAAACATTATTATTGGCATATATTAAAATGAGTCAAATCTTAAACGAACTTATTTAATTTTTGCTTTATCTCATAGGAATAAAAGAACAATTACTTAATCCATTAAAGAGAAGACAGAATGGTGACTTGGCCCATCTCCATCAGAATTTAATATTGCATATCATATTACAGCTCAATCACCGCAATCTTAATTTAAGTATCAATCGGTGTCACAGATAAACACTTACACAAATATCGTTCAGAAGTTACATGTTAAGTTACTCGCTTCCAAAATATTTGTTGCTATCTTTTCTTGTAAGGTATCTGTTGGCTTGAAGATTTCCAAAACGTCTTCCAAAATTATCCACAGATCTGAAGGTGTAAGTGCTATAGAGATGGTGCTCTATTTATTTTCCTTACACTTCTGTTGTGAAGGCTTGATAATCTGTTCCACAACTGCATTTTGCAGTCTTTTCAGAAAAGTCACATTTAAGTTCAAAGTATCTTTGGAATGCAAGTAATGGGTTTACTTTCTGTTTGCATTGTTTCAAATGCCTCTACTTCACACCTTTCCCCCTGAAACAAACTGGCACTGTAAATACAAGAGATTATATATCATTTTCTTCTACATGCCACAAAGGGATCTCCCAAGAGATACCATTCAGCAGGCACGGGCAAACTTTGGCCTTCCAGGTGTTTTGGACTTTAACTCTCTCAATTTCCATCCGGCTGTTAGAAATTGTGGAAGTCCAAAACACCTGAGGGCCAAAGTTTGCCCATGCCTACCATTAAGCATTCTTCCGTTTTATAGTGTTGCAAAATATTATTCTGTTGAATTGCACTTTAATTGTATTGGATATATGTCCACATCTACAAATGATATCTTAATTATTCTTATGGAAGGAATATAAATATCTTTAAGAAAAAGATAAACAAAAATTAGATTTTTTTAAAAAAATAAACAGGCAAAATATTCCCATTTCAGAGAGCAAGAAAAATCTTGCGCAAATAACAACTCTAGTTTTTTAAAATAACATAAACTGATCCTCAGTTCTTTATTAAAATAAAAATTAAATTAACATGAGTGGACTTTGTAAATAGAGAATGAAACTGTTTCCTGTTTAGACACAGTAAAGCAAGTAACATTTAAGGAAGGGTGAGCAAAGTGTACTTGGGGGCAAGATGTGAACTCCCATAGTGTTTTTAAACTACAGTTGCCCCTCCATATTTGTAGGTTTAACTTTTGTGGATTTGATTATTCATGATTTGAATTCATGGAAATTGATCATAAAGTTGTGCCGGAGGACCTAGAGTTCATAGAGAGAACACCTCTCTAGGTTCCCCAGCATAACTTTACTGAAAATGACCTAGAAATTCTCAGAGATACATTGTTTTCATGTAATTTTTTTAATCCAGTTTTTCCACTTTTGTGGGGTTCCTGCACCTCTAACCACCAGAAAAGAGGAGGGTTTACTATATTCCTCCCAAACCCTTATAAGCAGTTTCTTTTGGCTGAAAAATGTTGACCTGCATGTCCTGGAAACCTTCATGCATGGTGATTCAATCTTTTAGATAGCTAACAATGCCATGTATCAACCACACTCTGCTTCTAGTTTTTAAAAGCTAAAAGTGGCCAAAAGGATTCATTTTACCCCAATTGGCTTTAGAGCAGTGGTCCTCAACATTTGGTCCTCCAGTTATTTTGGACTTCAGCTCCCAGAAATCCCAGCCATGTTAAGAATTGTGGGAGCTGAAGTCCAAAACACCTGGAGGACCAATGGTTGAGAACCACTGCTTTAGGTGGTTCCAGGGGAACAAAATTGCCCTCTTGACAAAATGAAGCTGTCCATGCTTGCACAAACAGAAAATTGTATGATAGAGTAAATAATTGCCTAGAATAAAATTTGAAACTCCTCTATTCAAGGAGTTTCTCTGGAAGTTTTACTTAGAAGAGGTCTGCTACTACCCTCCTCTCAGGGTGAAAGCATTATATAAGGAAATATAGTGACATGCAAAATATTCTTCTCTAATTGTATGAGATACATTACATATATAAAAGTCTTCACTGAATTTCATCAAAAATGTTTCAAGGAAGTTATTTTGTTTCAGTTTACATTAATCTGGTGCTCATGGCCTAGCCACTTCACTTAGCTATGGTTGTTATAAAAACTACTACAACACAGATGACATGATTAGGACACATGCTGTCATGTTTCAAACATGCATTCATTCCCCCCCCCTCCCAAAACACCGCCGACTAGAAAAAGAAGAAGAAAAGAAGCCATTTTAATTGGCAAATATTCATCTTAAGGGCCAATGGATACATTTTGTATTTAGTAAAGACAGTAAAGGTGAAAGAGTCAACGCAAAAGAAATTACTACCATTTGATATGTCCTTGCCTAGTGTACTGTGTGAGGAACAAAAGAAAAATTAAAAGTAATGCAAAATACGGCACTTGATTTTAATTTTTTTAAAAAATTCTCATTCGTTTTATGAATAAACCATAGCCCTGATCCAGAGGCTCCACTGTATTTATGGGGCTCTGATTCAATCATGGAGTTCTGTGTGAAAGGGGGCTCATTTCCTTCAAGGCTATAGAAAGTTCAACATGGGAGAATATGTACATGAAGAGTCATGCCTGCTGTACACTAAATGGGACAGACCCCATTAACAGATAATTGTATGCAGAATACAATGTACTTTTCTGTAAGAATAGTTGTGTATCACACCAAACGTGGGAGACCTAAGGCTCTCCAGCTATTTCATTTTTATGCTGTATCACTGGCCATGCTGGGTGAGGAGAGAGCTGAGGGCCAAAACATCGGGAATATTACTTTCATAGTATGGTATACAACTGTATTTCAAAGAATGTGAGTATATAGAAGGCACACATTGTTAGGTCCTTGGTGTAAGGAATTTTTTTATGTCAGTGTATGCATCTTTAAAAATAGATTTTTTCCGTTCTTACACTGCAAATATATGCTAACATTACAAAGAAAGTACAGAGTTAAATATCATCCTTGGGTTCCTCAGTTGTATCTTGAGCATTTACCTCAGGCAAAGACAAAGTATACTTATCAGATAACTCAGCTATACTACATGGCATCCAAGCCCACAGAGGAAAAACTATAGATGAGACTAGAGCTCCTGTCCACACAAAGAACGAAATGGTGTGCTGTTATAATATTAAAGCATCAATAAAAAATAAAGCAAAGTTTATTTCTTCCACTTTCCTTCACTGTTGGAAGCTGGTAACAAACTTAATATTTTATACAAACCTCTAACTTATAGACTACTTTCCCTTTGTTTCTTCTACTATATGATACCTAAAGTATTAGTGGTATGCCATTCAATCACATATGTAGAAAAATTAAATTCCTTGTTTTGAAGAAAGCAGCTGACATACAAAGGTTGGGGGCAAGGGCGGGAAGGGATGCAGGTAAATATATGCAACCTTTATATACATATATTTAATTTTACTATAAAATGTCAATAATCCCCACCTGTCTGTACAGTTAGAAATCAGTCATTGCAAGGTGTGCAATAGTCTCAGTAGGCTTTGCAGCAGAGGTGGGTCTCAAGGAGATAAAGGAGAGGAGAGTCGTGACCTTATGGATCAGTTCAGGGAGGGTGTTCCATGCATACGGGACAGTGTGGAAGATGCTACATTAACCTGAAATTATGCAGAGCAGCAGTTCTCCAGGTAAAGACTCAAGGTGTGTGTGAGGTGCCTATTTTTGAGACAGAGGCAGTGTGGTTTTGTGAGCAACGACTGGCTATTAAGCAGGCAAGTGAAATAAGTGATGCAAGACTACACCAAACGCATGTTACTTGCCACTGTTTCTCACAGAGCTGTTTCACACATGATGTTCTGACATAAACAAAACCTCACTCTAGGGAACCATAGGTACATCCATGCATAGCATTAGACATAAAAATGCTGCAAATGTCAATTTTGCTTTGATTACACATGTTCTGAAGCTTCAGCAGGAGGTTCCAAAAATATGTAACCACAGAGAAGAGACATGCAACATACCATGGATGTACATTTTTCCCTAGACGGAAGCTTCCTCATGTAAGAAAAATACCCTGTATGAAACAGCACTATGTGGCTGCCAGTTAGCACAGTAACCTTGGGGTAATGACTGGGGAAAGACTGGAAAGGATCTTAAACAGATAAAGGAAAAAGAAGTGGGGATGAAGGAGGCAAGACAAAAGAAATAAATGTATTCATTTATTTCAAACGTGATTTCCTTAGTCATTTTAGGTATTTGCAATTTAGTAACTAAACAACTAAAACATCTTGAATAATTATATTATCATTACCAAGTTGAACCATTGATAACTGTTTAGTTTTCTTTAATATGAGAATGTGCAGAAAAAAATAATAAAAACAAGAGACAAAATGCTTCCCCTTACCCTTCTTCTTCCGTACTGAAGCTTGGAAATAGAAAGGGAATGAATGGTAAATCAAAACTGACGTGAAGATCATTCTAAACTGTAAAGTCCCTGTTTCCATCTTGAGCATCAAATTACCATTTATAATATGAGTTATGGAATGGGAGATATTCTAATTAGCAAGTGAGGTTATTCCATTAGAGGCAGATTGGGTGTAAATAAAAGCAAGATTTAGATACAAAAATTCAGTAGAATACCCGCTACATTTTTAAAAACATTCATATGGTATGGAATTTTTAAACATAATTTGAGTTGAAATGATGCTTATATCTTTTTGCCTTCTTCACCAAATTTGGGGTGTGTGTGTTATAAAACACTGTTTCATTTATTTAACTTTTACTTGTTTCCCGACTATTTCTTACACATTTCTCTTTATTGCATAAAATGCAAAGAGCAAAAAACATGGAAAAGGTGGCAATTTTTTTTAATTGCTATCATAAAGAGCCTTCCACATGGAAACAGCCCATAGAATATAAAGGACTAGGAATTGTGATCGCTCACTAGCCTATTTCTTCCTGATACTCCTTCTGCAATTTCTATATCATATAAATTGCTTGGAGAATGTTTTGTAAGTGGGTGGGAAGTACGGATGCAATATCATGAAGGAGATATTTAAGTGAATGAGGTACAGCACAAAAAATCATGAAACTAGATTAATGAACCCAACAAGTTCTGTGACCTCTAACATGTCATATAACAACATAGGTTTGAATCTGAATACAATTTCAAAAACAAGAGATGTATAAATGTTGTTTTTTTTAAACCCTGCAAGAGTGAACAAACTTCTTTGAGTAGCATCACATTCTAGATGTAGACAACATTACTATCAAGTAAGATATCAGTACAGTGCAGAAGTATTACATTCAGACCATTTTCTTGTTCCTTTCCAAGTGGTGTGTCAGGAGCAAAAATGCTCACCTTCAGGGAGAGGCAAAAATGTAAGAACCTTGTCGGTGTGAATGTGCTTAATTAACAATGGTAACAATGTTTATGTGTGTGTCTCTCTCACAAAACTTCAACAACTTTAGGTGCTTATTCCTTTAAAATAAGCTTGACCTACAAACAAATTCTTTAAATTCACCTTTGGCAAATTTCTATATCCCATGAATTCTGAAGTAATTGGCTCAACGTTAAAAGATACAAAAACAGAAGGAAAAATAAAGCTACTGGTACAATGGTCTACAACTCAGAAACATTATGAAAGTTGTGCACATGCTCTGCACATATAAAGTTTTAGCTAGAATCCTTGGCATTTTCAAGTAACCCTAATCCTAACCTAAAATCTTGGAGAACCTTACTATAAGGATAAATAGGATTGAATTTTGTCTCTGATAATATTCACATTTAATCTGAGTTAGTGTGAGCGCATGTGCTATTTAGTTTGTTACACAAGAAGGTACTCCATATCTCCTTGAGCAATACCTCCACCTGTGCAATGGTTATCTTAGATGTCATAGTCTAGTCCCCATCTAATTCATGGTTGGAGAAGATGAGGAGGTACCCATGAGTAGAGATGAACTCTCTCTCTTCCTGGCTGAGAAAAAGGGGCCATCCTGCTTGGGTTCACCCACTTCCCCCTGCTACAAATTAGCTGTGGAGGCACACTGTGGGTGGCTGTAGAAGAGGTTGGCTGTCTTATTGTGGAAGGCGAAGAGGGCAAATACACTGGCCCAGTGTTATTCCCCCTCAGTCTTACATAAGATCATTGTTAACGTATGACTTTATATAGAAGTTTCCTATTCTCCTTTTTTAAAAACTTTATTATAACAGTATCAATTTGAAATTAAAACCATTTCAATTAGGTAAAAAAAGTATATATAAAATGTAATTTTCATTTATGACTTCTTTTAGATACCATAGGTATGCTCACCCAAGGGAATGGAAAACACAGAAGAAATAGAAATGATTTCACTGTATAATCTTCTGCTGATAAAGGTTAGACAGAATAGGGTGGAAATTGTTTCTTTTGAGTATCTGACTGTTTACAGCTTCCTGCTAGTTAATCTGTTTTATATTTCATTAATGTTTTGCATATATATATATATATATATATATATATATATATATATATATTTCACCATAGTTGCATACATGAAGAAATATCTTTGCTTTGCATAGCTCTGAAGTATTAAATATCTTGTGCCAGCAACACATAGTAAACCTTTGTCAAAACTACCTCTAACACATGTAGCATTCACTTAAAGGATTCAAAATATTTTCAGGTAAACAAATAAATCTTCCATTCTACCACGAACACCAGTATATTACCATCAACAGAATATGTTTAGGATTGCATTCATACTTAATCCTATGAATGTTTGCCAGGAGTACATATACTGTATGTGTTCAGTGGTTTTATTCCCAAGCGAATTCTGCCTTCAATGTATTAGGGAAAATATCTCACTTGCAATTCGTATTAGTTTGAAGTGAATTGGCACCCTATTTAGAGAGCTTGAAAAAGTTTCCACTTTTGACTATATCTCACAGAACCTCCTAAACAGTTGGTAACTTTTCCAAGGTTTGACTATTCATATGCAATATTCTATCCTTATCCAGCAACTTTTGGATCACATTAGAAGTGTATATTTGAAGCTGTTATATGCGTATTTAGTCATTCCAAAAGGTCTTATTAAAAACAACTGTTACTAAGTGAAAACAAAGCCCAACTTCCATATTATAATGTTCAAGAAAGGTTTTCTTTATGGCCAAGTTCTGCTTTGTTTCCTGTGGATTCCATTGAAGTTATTAAGTGCCAAACTTTTAAAAAGTAAAACATTGAATTTCTGTGATCCCTAGTTTCAGAAACCTAAAGGTTTTTGTTGGGTGTTGGGTTTTTTTTTTGGAACAAGTGTGAACTAATCAGGAGCTACTGCTGAGCAAAGTACTAATTACTATCTGGTCCAGTTAAAGTTATAAATTTATGTGTTTATAAACTGATCCTTTGCATACTTGGCTTTATAAGTCTTCTTAGCAAACCGGAATCCTTTTGAAACTGAGGAAATGCCTTTCCTCTAGACCCTTCTGCTGAATTAATTTTCTTCCACAAGAAAACCACAGTCCAAAAGTAATAGCTACTTTTAACATACAGAATTAATAGCAGATTCTCTACAGTGATTCAAATTAAACGTTGAAGATGATCCACTCCAGTGCATAACCAGAAGAAGAAAGGCTATTATTTAGCAGTTTTCTGATTTACAGGGAGACTAAATTGTACTGAGGAGAAAAACTCTTTCCTGAATCTCAAAATAGGCAATTGGAGGGAAAGCATACATGTAATAAGTCAGTCATAAGTACTACACATTTTAGATAGATTACCCTGGGGGTTATTCCCTCTGTCCATGTGCAATGGCAAAATACTGAGCTGGAATCTGATTTCCTGTTAGGGCACTCTGATCATAGGATGATGGTATTTGGAGGAAGTGCCATTTCATTTTTTTTCTAACTCCCCCTTTCCTTCTGAAAGCTGCTCTCGATCTTGTCAGAACCCCTGAAAGATTGTAAGAATCAATAATGTAGAGCGGTGGTTTTCAACCTGTGGGTCCCTAGACATTTTGGCCTTCAACTCCCAGAAATCCTAACAGCTGGTAAACTGGCAGATATTTCTGGGATTTGTAGGCTCAAACACCTGGGGACCCACAAGTTGAGAACCACTGATGTGGAGGGTGGGGAAAAGCAGGATTGGCAAAATCCAAACTTTTCTCCCTCCACTAGATTCCAGCCCCTTCCTTGAATGGGAAGAGCTCTTTTATTTTATATATCTATACATATTTATTATGTCATCTTTCTCCAGTAGTGGGAACCAAGGGGATTGACAGATAAAATTAGTTATCTACTGAAGTGCAAATCTGAATACAACCCACTGATTTGAAATAAGAAAAACTCCTGATTTTAGGGTTGGCAGGAAGCAACTCTCCCATGAAAATTATTTCAGCCCAGTAAAATATCATTAGTTTTCTACCTTACAAGAAAGGCTCTCCTACTTTCCTCCCTCCAAGGTGAATGAAAAGGGGCTAAGCTATGATGCAAAAAATTAAGATGGATACATTTCCCAACATTCCAAGTATAAAAATATACAAAAAGAACTTCCTTATTTTCCAAAAGAATGTTTTACAAATCCCAAAGCATATTTTTTACTAAAATTAGAGATGCCATGAAAGAAAATAACGTTTTTTTAAAAAAAACTATTAATAAATCACACGCAATATTTGAACAATAAGATTTATGCAAAATGTTAGTTCGTTTAAGGATCCTTTTTTGACTGTTCTAAATATCCACGAATCTTGTTTTCTTCCTACAAAATACAATCTAAATGGGTGTCAACATACTGTAATGGTTACAAGACATGTCTTATTATAACTGGTTTCACAATAAGGAAAGAGAACTTTCTATTAAGGTACTAATTCAACTACCTTTCTGTGATTGGCCTCTGAATTAATTTGTCAGATATTAAATCATGACACTCATAGTAATTTGCAGGCATCAGGATATCTAAATTAATAAACATGCAACATTAACTAAAAGAATGAAGAACTCTTTTTAAAGTCATGTCTAAAATGTTCAGTTGGAAGTTTGTACATATAAACCGTAGCTAAATTTTCAGTATTGAAATAATTCATATCAAAGAGTAAACAGATTTCTAGCTCATTCCAATATTAATTTAGCAATAAATCTATCAAGCAAAGTTGGTCCCCAATCCAGGTGGACAACAGAAGCTGGTATGCCAGATGCCACATCCTTGCAAGTCTTCATCATGTGCCTTATAGATGATCTCCCTCCTGGGTTTATTTTTGGTGTTCAGGAGAAAGGATGGGGTATCTTGAGAAATCCATGCCCCTATTTCCCTTGTGTTACAGGTACTGGGCTCCTATTAGAGTTGGTAACTTTTTCAGTAAAAATCTATATATCTTCCAGATGGTGGCTGGATCCTCATTGCCACCATCCCTTGGGCACTTTTGAACTGGCATTATTATTATTATTATTATTATTATTATTATTATTATTATTAATTATTATTATTATTATTTCATATACCAATTTTATTTTTTGAATGAGAATCTAAGTGTCTACTGTCTATGGGGCAAATCTGAGAGCAGAAACCTGTTTCCACTATTTGTTTTAGCTGGATTGGGGCAAGGGACTTTAATGAGAGCTAGTTCCCTATAAGCACAAAGCTTTATTTCTCGTCAGCTTTTAAACAATGAGGGCTAGCAGCTTACCTTTATCCACTAATGAGAGGCCACAGAAATTTAAAATAAAACAATATTAGATAAGCTGATTTCCTTTTTTAAAAACCAAGCTAATAAAATATGCTATAGCTTTTACTTAACATGTAAAATAATGATGCACACAAATTATAATCACATTCTCTCGCAGAAACAAAGAAAAAAAAGACCACTCATGCTCATCATGCATACTTGGAAATTCCAGAAATGCAACATTCCCAAGTAAAATTTCAATACAATATTCTGTACAGGATGCAGTTTCAAACAGTATTTTCTTTACATTTCCATTATTGCAGCATGCTGGTTAAAAAACACTTTCTTACCAAGCTCTTCAAGCTCTGAGGTCATTGACTTAGACCGCAAGGTCAGTGCAGTGGTTGGAGCCCGCTTTGGAGGTGGAGGGGCTTTGCATTAAACAGAAGGACATACAACATAAGTAAAGACAATTCAGTATATGCTAATACAGTCACTGCTCAAATTCATCCCCAAAATGCATTAGAAATTAAATGAGTGTCCTTTTGATCTTTAGTAATAATTCCCAAATATTCAAAGACACTCTATAACATCTATTTCAGTTTTGAATTTTTTTAAAAAGTTGGGCTGAGCAAGGTCCCTACTTTGATCTGGCCTTGATTACGGTCAGAACAATCAAAATTGAAATTTTGAAAAACTGGGTGTTTGTTGTGCTTGTTAATTTGCTCTGGGAAACAAAAATGGTGACAACCCATTAAAATATGATTGAAGTTTATAATTTGGAGATTTGCCTCTTTACAGAGGATATGTACTCTGCCAAACAAAAAGAAAATACATCTAGGAGTTTACCTTAACAACTGCCACAACATTTTTGTATGCAAAAGTCAATAGATTTTACAAAAGGAAAACTGCCTCAAAGAGAGAACTACTCTAATACTACTGTGTCTCACTTGATACCTCTTCAGATATTAAGACAAAATATTACAGAAGCCTTAAATTCTATACTGCTGTAGCACATATAGAGCTTCAGGTAGACAACTTATCTGACATTAAAAAATTCTGCACATTATATGACTATGCAGAAATCATGAACAGAAGAATGGAAGGCAATGAAATTTTGATAATGCTGTTTCCAAGGAGTTGAAAAGGGATAGGGTATTTCCAAACATTTATCTTATCTCATAAAACTCAATGAAAAGGAAAGGAAAATGATCCAAACTATATTCCACGTCTAAGCTTGAGCTAGAGATGTTAAGACACTCTATCTTCTGTCTGTACTTGCCATACAAAAAGATCAACATCCAATGATCAAATGTACCTGAAATATTTTTCAATAAAATATTTGCTGTTTTGAACTCACTGAAAAACCTTTTCAAACATCATAATCAGAGAGAAAAGCACAGCATTATCATGTCAAAAGCATAACCTTTTGATTTCCAACTACACTGCCAAAACCCAGTTTACTGCAAGTAGGTTTTATGATAATATTAGAATTTGCAAGTACAAAACTAGCAGACACTTGGAAAGCAAAATCTGCACAACTTAATGAAATGTATTTTCAAGCAACACATTGCCTCACACAATCTTAGAAGTAGATAATGGATAGTAATGCTGACCAATTATATTTAGAGGTAGAGAGCAGATACATCAATACATTTTTCTATACAACTGCTCAAGGCAATACATCCCACCATGGACATTTCATATTTTTATAGTCCTATCAAATGTTCAATGAATACACATTTCTTATTGGCTTTTAGATTGCCCCGAACGGTTCGTGACTTATTATGCCTGCAAAACATTTACCAGTCACTGGGTTGGCAATATAACATAAAGTACAATAATAAAAACTATATGTGGAAGGTGGCATGCTATAGTAACAAAACATTCAAAATAATTTTGATGCAAATGATATCAAGAAATACATGAATCCCATACAACATTTAAACAAAAGCTTGGTTTAAAGAACACAACCTTAACAAACAATGCAGGAAGCTAAATTACTCCATCTTCTGCAGTACTATAGTTTTCTACCTACTGGCAAGACACTTTTCATTATAGAAATGCATTTGTTTGGAAATAGCCACAGCAAACAACACTCTCCCGTTTCTTTGACCTTTGGCACTTCCAGACACTTTTCTTTTGGCCAGAAAAAATGGTGAAGCCTGATTTTTCAAAACCAGAAGTGAACTTCTAAGCATCTACATTTTTGTTGGTTTTTTTGTGCCAAAGGCCGAAATGATAAAGAACTAGTGTTGGTAATCACTACTAATCATGAGGGTAATCACTGCTGCTATATTGAATATGGCAAAAAGAAACAAGCTTCTATCATAAATGGCTTTGTCCCATGTTACCAAGGTGCTCAGCACAGAGGGCTCTACATCTCTGGGAAATGCACACTAATTGTTATGGGATGAACAGAATAAGGAGGTACCAATTCTTTTGAGGAGAAACTACTAACTAGGACACACACACATAAACAAAGATCCACACATTTAACCAGAATGTTGACACACACTGGCTAGAAGTTGGAAATCAACCCTTTCTTCACTGAATTTGAAAATAAACATTTTCTTCTTTTTCTTTCTTAAAATAATGATTACACACATTATCTTGTGGAATAATGAACAAATTGATCAGCACATACATAAAACATTGTTTAATAATTGCTGCCTTAAGTTGTTTTGTCTGTAGAGGAGCATGAAAAACAGTTCAAACAATAAAAAGAATGTACCTTTCTTTCTGGCTGTGTCATCTGGATCAAGATTCCTGGTTACTGTGACAACTTTAAGTACCAAGTGATTGCCTCCTTGCCGAATCATGTTTACCACCTGCCTGTGGCCAACTTTTACTACGTTTTCATTATTAACCTGCAAGAAAAAAGGGAATAGGATTAAATGAAAACATTGGCAGAATACCTGGTTTTAAAAGCTATATAAAGAAGGTCATCTGTAAGATCAATGTGACATTTGTTAATCCTGATATGCACTAGCCTTACCGTACTTTCTGGTTTGCTGGAGTTTTCTCTATAGTTCTGAGTTTGAAAGTATACCGAAATACATTTAAAAGTTTATTTTGAGACAAAAAGTAGTTTTAAAATTTATTAATGACCATTTTCAAATTGAATTTTAAAAAAATCCTGCAGATTCTTGAGAAAATTGAATGGAACACATCTATAGGTAAACACAGGAAAGAATGACACAGATTGAAAACTCACTGTGAAAAAAAGAGCTCCAGACACATATATGTGGATAAAATAAAGGGCCAATTTATTGACCTAACATGCAAACTAGTTTCTCCTGGGCAAATACCAACTATTTGGAGGAGGAAGCAACCTAATGCGAGTCTTTGGCTGAGGGACATATGTCAACCCATGACCATCTCCTTTACACATCTTGAGCAAAACACCAGATCCTGAGGGCGATCCATCTCCATGGGTTGCTCACTCCATCATGATCAAACTGTAAGGTTCTCCTGAAGGGTTCCCTGTCCAGGGCCGATATCACACTCGAGCTGAAAGAGTAGGAAAAGAGTATGCATCCCATCTGAAATCCTGTGGTTGCTTCCTGCAGAATTCTGGGGATTGTAGTTTAAGGGGTGGGCCTTCAAAATGCTCAGCCAGAGAAGACCTGGGTCTCACTCTTTTAGCTCTATGCCCCACAACCTTGGGAAAGAGAGTCAACCACCCATTCAAGCCCCAAAGTTTCCCCCCTTCCCCAAGCCCCACACCCAGAGAAACCATTCCAGGGACCCACCACAATTCACTACAAACTGGGCACCAAGATGAACACCAGTTGCTAATACCAACCCCCCCCCCCCCCAATGGAGGAGACATTTAGGACGGGCAGGCTGCCTTAAATAAGCTAAGCCCTACCCCTCCCACAGACTGAGGCTGGCATGCTCACCAGCCTCACATGGATCCCCCAGGGGGTGGAGATAGGCGGGGTATAAATACCCAAAATAAAAATAATAAATAATAATTGCCCTTATCCATGGGGCTTTTAAAGAGCTCCCCTTTGACTAGCCATTTTGTTTTTGTCTTGGGGAGTCTTGCAAAGAGACTGGTTTTATTCATTGCCAAATGAATGTTTCAAAACACAGTTGTACAAAGACTTGAAAAAATCCTAATGCATCAACAATTACTGATAAATCGTATCTATGAAACTGGAACAGATAATGGCACAATTCCTACAAAGCACAAATGCCCATCAACTAACATAACAGATCTTAATTCGCATCCCCACCCCTAAAGCCCTCTACATTGCCTGAACGTTGACTCTGAAAAGGTTTCCACGATTCTGGAGCAATTTGGGGGGTTAAAATAGGAGATCCAATGGTTCACCTGATGAAAACAATCCCTTTGAACCCCCAAATCAAGCTACTGAGATCAACAAATTAATGAGAAATTTATGCTCATCCAGCAGAGTTACCTTTTTCTTTCCTTCCAAAGCCATAACAACTAGTAGGTATGAGGTGGTAAAAAGGGAAGGAGGGTTGTTTGAACTCTAATGCCAAACTGCTTATTTTATTTCCAGCTTTTCTAAAGAACTACAACATTGATTAGATCCTGAATGTTATGCTAATTTCTAAACCCTTTGCTAGGTACATACCCTTGGTTAGCTCTGAAAGAAATCAATTTAATAGTAAAAAGGAAAATTGATTTTAGTGTAATTTATTTTTTTCTTATTCCTGGCATTACATTCCACCCCACCCCCTGAAAAGTCTGTTGCTTATAAATACAGCAGAGGGACAAACTGTGAGGGTGATGGTCTTGAAGTATATAGTTAGATCATTTTGAGAGCAACTGGGTATTAACAAAACTTGCGCTTCCACAGATCTGTACAGGAAACATTTGATTTTTAATCAAATGTTATTTTCAGACCAAGTTATATAGCTAAAGTATCTTTTAGTGCTAGCCTGGCAAAGTTTGTTATTTCTACTTACATTTATGAATGTACTATGGCACTGAATGTTTGCCTTTTTTTTTGATGGAATCCGTCCTGAGTCCCCTCCGGGAGATAGGGCAGAATACAAATAAAGATGATGATGATGATTATTATTATTATTCTTATGCATTTAGGATGGGATGGTAAAGTTACTTGGGATCCAACCTGGGATGGTATAACTGCATATAAATACACAGAATTCCCAAATAGAAAAAAACACCTGGAAAATGATAATAAAAATGCTAATAGCATTCAGTATAGCTAACAGAACTCTGTCATATACCCAAGATCTCAACACTCTTCTAACTACCTTGCTAACTATTTTAGCTTAGTATGATCTCTATCCCTTGGCCAGTTCATTATTCTTCATAGTTTTCTAGCTGGCACTTACATAATTTTTAAAAGCTCAAATATCCAAACAATAAGCAACATATTTCTTTTTAGCTTTAGTGTGTGTATGAAGGGAGTGTACATCTATAACAAATCAGCAGACTAATAATAACACATATACATTTTTATAGTGAAAAGTAACAAATGGCTTAAGATGTGCACCATCTGTTGGCATCATTATGTATGACGAATTTATCTAACAACTGGCATAGGAACAAATTGATACCATACATTTTTAAACACCTAACAAAATATGCCCATAACTGAACATGAAAAAAGTTTTGTTAACTAATGATGGATAACAATGTAAGTCAGGAGGTGCTGTGATTTTTAACTTTGAATACGTTTTGATGGTTTTTAACTGTGAATTTTTAGTGCTGTTTGTGTTTAATTTTTTTAATGGTTCCATATTTATATATTCTAAATTGTATATTTATGCTTTTATGTCAAACCACTTTGAGTGCCCTTTGGGGAGATAAAGCAAGGTATTCATAACAACAACAACAAAAACAACAAAAACAACAACATGAGCTAGAAGACTACTGTATATTCTGATGGCTTCTGAGTAGCAACCACAGTGCGTTGTTCCTTCTAGTTTATTGTAAAAATTTAACCAACTGTACTTGCATATGTTGAGAGCAGGGTTTGAGTTCAAAATTAATGGTTTTTGTATCACCTATGTCAAGTCAAGCATCCTTCCACCAATGCCATCTCAGAGGGTTAGCTGCCCCTGGCCACCACCACCACCATTTCCCCACCCAAGCAATTCAGTTTTGGGGAAGTGGTACTATGGCAGACAGAGCAGAGGGGGGTCAGTGTTTCTTCTAGGTTTTCCTGGGATGAACTATGGTAGAATGTGGAAGCTGCTACCTTCTAGGTCATGATATGTAGCCTTTTGAATGAATCTAAATTTTATAGAAGAAATCTTTTTTAAAATAATTTTTTGTCTTTTGTATTTTATATTTTACTTTTAAAATGAACATATTTAAAATAACAAATAAAATAAAATAAATGTCAAAGAAAAAACCCACCCAGGTTGACTGATAGAATATTAGGAAACATTTTAAATTACTGTTGCTCTGGGCATAAATATTTGAGTAAATGAATCTAGATTAAACAAAATATTTAGCCATCACATATTTACTTGTCACATGTCATAATTTCCCTAGTTTATTGTTTGGTGGCAAACTGACTCAACACATGCAAAATAATCAAGGAGAAGGGACCTCCTCTACAAACATACTATCTTTGAAGGGAGTATTATGCGTGCATTTGCAGAGAATGCAGTCAATTGAGTATCACAGTAAGAGACTGATTTAGCAGGTTAGACCCAATAGATGATGCGGGTTGGATTTAAATGACTACATATAGTAGAAACTCTACTTAAGAGTGATCTCAGTTAAGAGCATTTTGAGTTAAGAGCTATTGCTTGGCCCAGGTTTCACTTTGACATAAGAGTGGCATTTTAAGTTAAGAGCTAGTGCCAGAGGGACTGCTAGCGTGAGAGTACAGGGCTTTAGGGCTTCAAGAGAGCAGACTCTGTGTCTTGTGCTCTTGTCTGCTTTGGGAGATTGCTGTCCGCTTTGTCGTGTCCACTTTGAGGAACTTTGGGTTAGTTGCTTTTGTGTGGTTTTTATTCCTGGTATTTTTGGCTTCATGAAGAGAGAGGAGGGGGAGAGCAAGAGAGGGAAGGTGGCTGGAATAAGGACAGCATGAAGAAAATGATGCTTCTGCCTCTTCACTTTGTGCTTCCTTGCCACAACGTTGTGCTTCTACAATTTTAAAATACATCTTTCTTTTTTATTATTCCACGTGAATGTGCAGGTTTTGCCTTGCTGTTAACACTAACCAGCAGGCCTGTAGCGAGGGGGGGGGGTTAGGGGTTCAACCTCCCCGAAATGTTTCAGATTTTTTTTAAAAAACCCAGTTTACTCATGAATTTTAACTGGTTAACCGAATCCCCAAGCTAGGTCTATGAGATGCAAAAAATTAAGAGTCCCTCCAGAACTGCAAGCACTATCTCAAGCAAATATTTATTTATTTATTTATTATTCGAACTTATATGCCGCCACTCCCCTGGGACTCGGAGCGGCTTGCAAGAACAGGCTAAAATCGAACACAATTTAAAAACAATTTAAAACAATTTAAAAATAACAATATCAGAGATCAAAGTCCCATTGAAACAGATATGTCTTACATGCCCTGCGGAAAGCTGATAAGTCCCGCAAGGCACGGACTTCAGGTGGCAGAGTATTCCAGAGCGATGGTGCCACTGCTGTAAAGGCTCTGCGTCTGGTTGCTATTAGACACACGGTCTTGACACTGGTCCTCAGAACGGAGGGATCTCTGGGGTTGGTAGGGGGTGAGGCGGTCCCTCAGGTACATCGGCCCCAGACCATGCAAGGCCTTAAATATTGACAATTTATTCTCTGGAATACTCTGGTTAACCAGTTAAAATTCATGAGTAAACTGGGTTTTTTTAAAAAAATCTGATTTTGGGGGGGGGGGTTGAACCCCTAAAAAAAACCCCCTCG